CTGCCCCCTTTCCCCCCCCCCCCCCCTTCCTGTGCCTGTCAAGGAAAGCAATCAGCTCCAGTATGATCTCAATGAGGGGGCATGTTCCCCCCCATCCTCTCCACCCACTCACCCCCCCCTGCCCAGAGTCCACTTCACCCCTAACTCCTGCACCCCACACATCCCCAGCCATCTGCTCTGAGCTCCTCCCGGAGGACTCCAGCAATGCTAGGTGCTAGTACTATTATGTTTGCAATGGGGATGCTGAGAACTGTAAAAAGAGAAGGAAATTGGTCCCTAAGTTTGCCTTACAAACCTCTCAGCTTCTATATCAGGGGTCATTCTAATGGCACTGATCTGAAGTTCTGCTCTGAGATGTGACTTCGCTTTGTATTGAGTCCCCTGTCAAGCCAAAGTGAGGGCATCATAATAATCAACCTGAAATCCAGTTGTATTGCTTTAGTGCAGCATTACTCAAAGTGGGCTGTGGGCTGCTAATGGCACACTCCACTTTCCCGCTACTCCCCTGGATTGGAAACAGTGAACCAGAGCCAACAGGAGCCATGAGGCTCCATGGCTATGGAGCCTTTAGATAAACCAGAGGGGCCAGGTAACGGCTTAGCCAAAGTAGGCCTGCAGCCCACTTTGAGAAACACTGCTTGATTGTGTACCTTCCAAAGTACTATGCGAAAGCACACAACATATATTTTTTAAAATTCTGCTTCATTCTATAGTTTAATACATTCATATTTTTCCCTTGCAGGTTTGGTGCTGCTCTGAGTGACTTAGGGCTAGATCCTGGTCCCATTGAAGACAAATTATTAAAAAAGATTTTTATGAAGTCAGGATCAGCTTCTCAGACAAACCCAAGGGATACATCTAGACTGGCATGATTTTCCGGAAATGCTTTTAGTGGAAGAGTTTCCGTTAAAAGCATTTTCAGAAAAGAGCATCTAGATTTGCAGAAAAGCGTCCGTGCCAATCTAGACGCGCTTTTCAGCAAAAAATCCCTGATCACCATTTTTGTGATCGGGGCTTTTTTGCGCAAAACAAATCTCAGCTGTCTACACTGGCCCTTTTGTGCAAAAGTTTTGCGCAAAAGGGACTTTTGCCCGAACGGGAGCAGCATAGTATTTCTGAAAAAAGCACTGATTTCTTACAGTAGAAAGTCAGTGCTTTTGCGGAAATTCAAGCGGCCAGTGTAGGCATAGAGCCCCCAATGTTCCATGAAATTATTCATACAACAACCCTGTAGGTATGGAAGTACTGTTGCCCCTAATTTACAGACTCAGAGACAGGGGCCATGTCTTCATATCACTGCCGTGGCCAATCTTTGGAGTTTGATTTAGTGGGGCTAGTGAAGACCTGATAAAGTGAACTCACAGGATGCTCTCAGTGGGTGCTCCATCAGTGCTGGTACTCTGGCTCTTCAAAAGGAGTAAGGGAAGCCAAAGGGAGCATTTGCTCCTGTTAGTCTCCTGTGTGGATAGCACAAACTCTATTTAAGATATCTTGACTCCAGCTACATAATTCATGTAGCTGGCATTACATATCTTAATTCAACCTTCTGCTGTAACGTAGGTGACTTACCTAAAGTCAAAGTTTGTGATGGAGACTTAAATTCAATTCTTTGCTCCATGTCCAAACCACTGGAGCATCCCTTCTTTTGCTATGTTCTTGAAACAAGGGGTTTGTCATGAGAATGCCCTTAGATTTTCAGCTAGGCAAAAAGGAATACATCTCCATAATGATGGGACCAGTCCATTAAAGAGAACAAGTGCACCTAGACTGGCAAGATTTTGTGCAAAAGCATCCGTGCCAATCTAGACGTGCTTTTGCTAGTAGCATTTTTCCGTTAAAAGTATTTCTGCAAAATCATGACAGTGTAACCTTGCTGCCAGGCCGAGTTAATAGCAGCAATGGCCGGGTTCAGTATCTAGGGGGTCTCCTCCCAACAATACAACACTGGCTCAAGCCCCCACCCAGTGACCTGGGAAATCTTACGTACACCTCTGGGTGCCTCAGAGGCAATTCTTCCCCTCACAAGCATAGAGCCTCAGTATAGCAGCAAACCTTTAACAACATGAGGTAACCGACATCAGCATTAACTTGGGAAAACACCACAGCTTGGATTCATAGACCAAACATGAGCAAAGACCCACCCCCCAGCCACGAATCACCTAAAGTCCAACACCCCAAAAGTCTCTGCCCCCGGTCAGTGCTGCCTCAGGGTTCAAAAGTTCACCCAGCAGGGCTTTACCATCCCAATCTGGAGGGGGCGGGGATTGATACACCTTACGTGGTCCGCCAATGGCTCCGCCTCTCCGTAGGGTTCTGCTGCCGCCATCAACACGCATCACCCCACCACACTCCACCTGTTGTCCAGTGAGTGGCCTCAGCTGTCCCACAAACTGTCTGGCTCCATCAGCAGTCTCAGTCCACGCCCCTGTCTGCCAGCTGGTTGCTCTTGCAGCTGCTCCACTGGCTGTCTGCTGCCGCTCCCCCGCCGGTAGCCCCAGCAAACCACTCTGCTGTTTGCCTGCACTTGCTGGTTGTCCCTGCAAGCTGCTCTGCTAGCTCAGCAGCATAGCACCAGGCTCCCCTCAGCAACAGTGATTTCAGCTCTTCAGCAAGTTCAGCTTATGATAGAGGAGCTTCAGTGCTAGTGCTCCACTGGCCCACAGGGAAATCAACTCAGCAACTCACAAGTAGACTTCTAATAGAATCCAAATTAGTTCCAATATTCCACAGTGGAGAGAGGGCAATCGGTGTTGTTAGGCCCTCAGACAGGGCCACACCATCAGGTACAAAGACCTGTCCCCAGCCTCTCTCAACTTGACTGGGTTTGGAACCCATGCCCTTTGTCTAGCAAGTGCTACTTCGTTTATGGCGAATCCCTGTGTCAAACAGTTCCACCATTCCATTGTCCTTGATCCACATAATCAGAGTAACACCACTTTTATCCCCCCGCCTCAACA